CCTTCTCACGGGCACCCTACCCCTGATGTGGTTATATTGAGGTGTCCTAACGGTGCCATCCTTTTTGGGGTCCAAATTACGACTAAAAGAATACTACTACCACGGTTACTACAAATATTTCTGTTTCTATTACTACTAATTCTGCTACTACCATTGTTTATTTCTACGGATTTTCTCTCTTTCCGTCGGCTTTGCGCGGGAACCCGTGGTTATTATGGTTCCCACTTCCTTGGGACTCAGAATCTGACATCTACACCCACTATTAAGAGATAGCTACCACTGGGGCCAGAATTAAAGACATCGCGGGCTTGCGCAAACTCTCCCGAAATAGTAGCTGGAGTGTTAACTGCAGGGCAACAACGTCCATATCTGGGGCGGCTAAATTTGGTCTTTTTTCACAAATTTAACTTCAGTCGAAGAAGCCTACTTTGAGCTCTAAGACAATGCTGTTTCAGATTAAGATTCAATGTCTAGAAACGCCCTCTAAAAAGATGGACCGCTCTACTGACTAGGTCAGATTGCCTTTCAGTAGCGGAAGCACACAGGGGCTTGGAGAACTGCGTTGATTTCCTTCCGCGGTCTGGTTGTCTAAACAGGACACGGGAATATGAACGTCCCATCAGTCTAAAATAGAAGGCCTTGCGATAAATTTCAGTAAAAAGGCAAATATTCGCGTATCCTAATCCTCACACCAACCCTAATATAAAAATAACTGTAACCTTAATTGGCTCCCTACCCCTAGGATTAATGCGAACCCCAACCTTAACCCCTATCACAATCCTAACCCTAGCTCCAACATTCAAGCTAACCCTAAGATTAACCCTAACCTTTATCTTAATCCCAAACTTAAGTTCCCCGAAACTTTGCGCAAAGTCACATGAATCATGGGCGGTTCCTGTTCCAGTGTCCTGTTTAGGCGGCCATAAAAATAATCTATACCCCTATTTTGTTGGTTAAAAGTTCAAAGCTCTAAATATTAAGCCACAGATTTGTTATCCTTTCGGCTATGATCGGGTATAGGTAGAATGCTTGAGGGGCGCACATCAATCACGTTATGGTATTGAAAAGTTCCTGTGGTTCATCGATCTCGGGACAGTTCGATGGCAAGCCTGCTAACTTGAAAAAAACTAAGAATTTCAGTTGCCTTAAAAGCCTATTGAAAATGCGAAGTAGGGCTGCCAAACTAGATGACTTTTTAACTTTGGAACAAGCGTCTTTTGACCGTTTTATTTGCTAACATTATATTAAAACGTTGTATGATAAGACCTTGCTTACATTTTAAGTTCTTACTGTTCACTCTTTCACGTCTAAAATCAAGACTGTATGTATGAAACTGCCGAAGATCTGAACTTAAATTCCGATGAGCAGGTGCCCTGAGTCAAAACCGTTTCAGAGATAGCCTCCAGAGAACTTATTTCCCAGTAGTATAAAAGTTGTATGGCAATTTTGTGACCGGAATTTTCGTGTGTGCGGAGCATATTCTCGGCCCATGGGGAGTTCGGACCATTTCTAGCAGGTCAAATTAGGACCTAGTTTTTGAGCCGAAAAGCTGTTGTCGATTCCGCCGTACTAACTGCTTTCTGTCGCAAAATATGTGCATATTTGTTGGTAAACAAAGTGGCCAAGAACCATCTTTAATCGAAAGATGCTCTTCATAAGGGAATTATGGAGGCCATGTGGTCAGTTTTTCCGTCACAGTAATTGACAAAATTGCTTTCAATATGCTCCTTACATGATCGATATAGTAGTGAACAACTATTCCTTCTACTGTCCGTGTAGCAAAAAGACTGATTTGTACATAGGTTGTCAGACGGCAAGCAACTTATCATAAATTTCATTTACCTTTCAGGTTCTGTTGCGCAAACTCCTGTGAAAATCAACAGGCACGGATCCACGGGGGCAAACAAAGGGGACAATACCAAACATCGGAAACGTGCATCGGGAAAGGATGATGTGGTTCAGGCATCAGGCAACTTCAGGAGATCCCTCTCGGACTCAGAGAAGCAGGCAACGGACGGAAACGCGTCCGGATCAGTTGGCTCAGCACATCAAGGCAGCGATGATAGTGATTCAACTAGTGGTGTGGACGGGAACAATGGGGCAGATGACCTCGGCATGGATATGGGTTCCTCAGGTGATTCCAAACGTACAAGAACTGCGTACACCCGACAACAGATCCTCGAGTTGGAGAAGGAATTCCACTATAACAAGTACCTCACACGTAAACGGCGCTTGGAAATCGCGCATACGCTCAACCTTTCCGAAAGACAGATAAAAATCTGGTTTCAGAATCGTAGAATGAAATGGAAGAAGGAGCACTGTCTTCCGGGAAACAAACAAAGGTTGTCAGAAACACCACTACTGTCCTTACCGACGCCGAACTTTCAGATGCGCAATCCTGACCCGCTGGCCTCTATGCACTTTGGCCCTCTGCAACC